ACCCCCCCCCCCGTCGTACATAGCTCCTCTAATAATTAAATGCGGCCAGGGGGGTAAGGTATACGTATGTATATATCTGCTCATTGACACGTAAAAGGCGAATTGTCATGCAACGACGTCTCCGAAGTCTCTCTCGTGTACCCTCGACATGTTTATTTTAGAAAAAGCCGTCTCTGGTGCGGATGCAGCAGCAGCTGGTCGCGCTATCATTGTTGCCGCCGGAAATCGCGGGAAAAATCGTTGGCTCACGCTGCACGGCTACAATATAATATATATATACAAACTCACTCGCGTCGACTATCTTTTGGTGTATCTTACCGCATGCACACCCATGGGTAAGCTGTGCAGGTCTCCCTCCCCCCTCTTATTTTTTAGCCGTACCGAGACCGTACAGTTACCCCGGCATGGGTATTGTATACCCATGTATTTGACAAAAAAAAAAAGGCAGGATATCCCCGGGGGCTGGGTGGCTATTAATATTTTTTCAGTCACACCCCTGTTTTGCATAGGCACGAGTGAGAGGAGAAGATCCTTGCAAGTGTGTATATACAATCGTATATAACCAACCCTTGCCGTACGGACCCTGGTTGTGGCCGAAAAAAAAGGGCAGTCTTTGCTGAGAGACCTGCACGGCCATACTGTAGGAAAAAAAAAAAAAAAAAAAAAATGGTGTATTTCTCTTTTGATTGTCCACCAGCTGCGTTACCAGCGGCAGCCACCTGCGACGATCCCTGGGAGTCAGTGGAGCCGATCAGGAGATCGGAGTCGGTCCACAACAGCCAACAGCCCGAGTCACCGAGCGACAGCGTTAGCAGCATAACGCGCTACATCCACATCAAGCACGCCGACTCGAGCGTCAAGATCTTCCGCGAGACCACTGTTTGAGGATGTGACTGGGGTGATCTCTCTCTTGTTATTTTTTTTTTTTTTTTTTTTTTTTTTCATACGTTACAGTACAGAGAGAGGGGATGTATGCGTATGTGTTTGACTGATTACATATTATACATAGTATATAGTTTTATATCTCATACGTAAGAAATATCTGTGTTAATTTGACCAAACTGCCAAAGTTAATTTTTAATAAACAAAAAATAATTTTAATGTTTATTAATGATTGATTTGTTTTTTAATGATCTACGTACAAATAGTCGTCACATACGATAGCGTAGCTCATTTCTAGGGAAAAATAAATTAAAACTCGTCAACGAGATAGTTTTAACTCAACTCAATTATCATGAATTAATATTTGTTCATTCAATTTAATTGAAACAAATTGTAAGCTAAAGTATAGTAGTTTAAGGATCGAAGTACGCAAGGTCTGAGGAAAATGTGATGACACTCGTGTGTTGGTATGAATGGATTTAGAAAATAAAAAAATTAAACTTTTAAAGTTCTGCATTCGTTTGAGAAACAAAGTGCAGTTACGTGAAACAACTTAATGTTTCGAATTTATTAACTTATAAGTACTTTAAAAACGTGAATTCAACGACAAGATGACGTAAAACTTAATAATGTGTTTTATTGTTATTAGTTTTTCAATAAAGTACTCGAATTAATGTAACTAATGATTTTTTGGAAATGCCACTATTGATATCGAAATTTTTCAGACTATACAGTTGTACTTACAATGTGATCTTTAAGAGGTATGCCTTAATTTTTGTTCAAACAAAAATGTTTTTAAATTTTTCGCAAGAGATTTTCTAGTGAGTGGAAAAAAAGGGTAATTTTTAACAGTTGCAAGATTTTAAGTTCCAATTGTCTCGAGAGTTAAAGGAAAAATTAAAAAAAAATTTTGTAAAAAGAAGCGATTTATATTTTCGTACTTACAGATTTTAAACACGTGGTGTGAACTGTCTTACAATAAATGTCAAGAATGACTATAAAACATCGGTTGTATCGGATGGAAAAAAAATATATGTATATTTTATGTACGTATTTTACATTAACGATTCGTGAAGCTATACCTAGAGAATAAACAAACGATTTTGGAGTCGACCAAGTGCGCACCCACTTTTCCTGTAAAACCCGTTTCCTTCGAGCAAAGTCCGTACACCGCACACAAGGATATCAACACGCATACAACCTCGTTATGCTCTGGAATTCTCATTAATCCCGTATTCATCCATTTACTAAAACACACATAATATATACATAATACAATATATACTTACACGCACGCTCGCATCGCGAATATATAATTTGTATATGTATATATATTGTAATTATACCTAATGTGCATGCGTGCACGCACCAGCCATTTTTATAATATTCTTAATTTTATAATTATATTTTTGTTGTGTATTTGTATATAATATTATGTGAGCACATGAATGCGTCGCCTTACTGACTCTAAAATTATTTGTTGTGATTATTTGTACGTGCGTTTGTGCATTGTTATTATTATTATTATTATTATTATTATTATTATTATTTGATTTTTTTTCTTACACATTCATTCTACCGTACATAGTTTTTTGGTATTCATTGTAGTTGCCGTATTCTGACTGATGCTCTTGAAGTCAATTGCTTTGCATTGGGATGACAATTGGCTGCAGCCTCGTAGGATTCATTGTACTTTTATTCCTCGTAACATTGTTTCTGCTTCCTCTACTTGTCACCAACCTAGCCAAGTTTAGTATTAAGGGACCCCCCATTTTAAGAATTGGAACGACCCTGCCACTGCGCCTAGTGCTATTTCTGCCACCATCTATACGTACTCTTCCCAGTTAGATAACTTTTCCTCCGTTTGAACTACCTCTCGAACGCGTTGGATTATATCTGTTAGTTTTGTACCCACTGTTAACTTATTCTCGGGTCCGTGCTCTTGACTACCGAAGTCTTGCAACCTATCTCTTTCTATAACCGATCTTATTAGACTTGGCGTTTCATCTCCTTGTATCTCCTCTTTATTGCACTCCCCTTATCCCTTGTATTATTCTTTTTAAGTTCAGATTGGGGAACTGTGAAATTAACTATCTGACTTTTACCTTCCTCCTGACCTGGTTCCAATCTTGTTTCTGAAATTTGAGTTATGCAGTCTCTCGCTAGGTCCTTTACTCCAGCGTGCATTACTCTGAGCGTCTTGTGGTTGGTGTGCCCGCACTGCACGTGTATTTTTTCTCCCTTTTGGTATTAAAAGCATGTTGATTTCTTGAGTGCAGACGAGTCCAATATGCGCTTTTCAATCTAGCTCATGTAACCTGACTCCCTTCCGGCTTCTCTACGGTCTCTCCTAATATGTGTTGTATCTCGCAGTGGTGGTCCTTTACCACTTCCTGTGTTAGCTCTATTTGAGTACATACATTTATTTTATACACTTTCTTGCATTGGTCCACTGCTTGGCGCGCTATTGGTGAAAATCTTTTTTTGTTAATGTTGCTCACTACATATTCGTATGTTGGCTGTAACTAAGCTACCATATTCATTACATTAACCTCTTCCTGTTCGACCGGTAGAAGTAATAGCCTAAGGACTTACAAGTCTTCTTCTGTTACTAAATGTATTTGGATGAAAAATATAACCTTTTTGTTGAGCTAAATGTTTGCTATCTCTGCTATTTCCCCTATTTTTTCCTCTATCGTTGTGCTTTTGTCTCCTAGGATCCTGAGATCCAGTTAGAACTGCTCTGCCAATATTTTTGCTTTCGATATTGGTTTTATGCTGCCTGCAGTAGATGACATATTCTTCGACTCGCTTAATATACTATGTCTGTTGCCATTTCAAATTTTGCCGCTAGATCTTCGGCCAGTTGCTTGAATTTCCTAATTATCCCTGATAATCTATCATATCCGATTATCCTATCTGAAAAAATTTTGAGCCCTTCTTTCGTTATTCTTTCTACCTTATTTTCAAACCTCTATATTCTGAAGTGTCTGTTGTTGATCGACGAATGCTACGACTCTTATTTGCTCTTTTAAGTAATTGGTTGTATCGGTTGTGTTTGACAAGTCTGCTTTCATNTTTTTTTTTTTTTTTTTTTTTTTTTTTTTTTTTTTTTTTTTTTTTTTTTTTTTTTTCATACGTTACAGTACAGAGAGAGGGGATGTATGCGTATGTGTTTGACTGATTACATATTATACCTATGGATCTGTGATTACGTATCTCACTGTTGTTACATTGTTTCTACATATGTATATACATATATATGTGTGTGTGTGTGTGTGTGGGTGTGTGTGTGTGTGTGTTACTTTGAAACATTCCATGCATTTAAGATAGTGTGTGAAATATATTGATGATATATTTAAGCATGTCTAACGATGAAAAATCAATGTGGTATAACTCGTATAATTATGCTATATGGTGTTTTTTTTACTTACGATTAAATATGTTGCGTAAGAGAAAGCAGCTGAATTGCTTAAAAGTAGAGAGAAAGATGTAATTTTGATCGAGCTATTTTTATCATTTGACTTCCGTTAGTTGTATGGAACTCTCTCTGGCTTGGCGACACGCCGCCTTCACGTATTTTCAATTTTTTTTTTTTTTTTTTTTTTTCTGGAGTGGTCGTTTGGTTTTTTTAAATTAAATTTTTTTTTTTTTTTTTTTTTTTTTTTTTTTTTTTTCCAGTAGTTAAGGAATCACTATAGCGAAAGGTTTTTTAACGTGTTTTGCTTTAGGTTAAAGAAATGTATCATTATGTGGGGAAATTTTGCAAAGAGTGTCCATCCAAAAAAAAAAAAAAAGTATTTAATCGTCAAAAAAACGTTGATAATGATTTTCTAATCAAAGACCTTTACTTTGATAAGTTTAGTTGAGATTGGGAGAGAAGCGTAATATTTGATATGAACCATTAAAGCTTATTGTTGCTGTTTTTAAATTTTTTGTACAAAACGTCGGTCAATACATATTATACTTATACATACAGGTAACAGTACCTTCAACGTGAAGGAGACATGATTATTGCAATATGAATACAATATTAAAAAAAAGAAAAAAAGAAAAAAAAAAGGTGTCATATGATATTGTTGCGTACTAGTCCAATAATTCAGTACATTTCTTTCAATGAAGATTAAATTAGTTTTATTAAGACAATATTTAAAATTATAATTAAGTACTTAAATTTTATTAAATGAAAGTAAAATTAGTTTAATTACTACCGAAGTGAAAATCATCTTAGTAAATAACTAACCGTAAGTAAAAATGAGCGATAATAAGAATTAATTAGATCCAGATTTGAGACTGCGAATGAAATTTAATGATTATTAATTTCAATTAATATCAATTGTTACTTTTCTTCATTTTCGTCCTAAATAAAATCTCAGGAAGTTTAATAAAAATAAAAATTGATAGCATCTGCTTCAACTTGTAACTCATTAAAATTCATAGCTTGAGCAATGGAAATATGT